TGTCCCTTCCTGTTCCACCCAAAGCCACACAATCAACAAATCCAGACAACTTAACATCCATTTCTAGGATGTGCACTCTTGAGGTGCTAAATTCTTCAAGATATGGAGACCACTCCCAGTCACATCATCCAGACCCAGGAAACTTATTGAAATTCCAGGGCCTTTTGAAAGGCATTTTCACATCATTAAGTAATGTTTTATTAGCTATTTTTAGAAGTATGAAAATAGAGCCCCGACCAAACTGTTCTTTCACCAAATATTGTTTCAAAGTAGAAGGAAACAATGTCTCTGACCATATTTTGTTGAGAAAAAAAACCCTAATTTATATAGCGACCTTGCCAAAGGGAACAGAGTTTGTTTTTCTTATGAAAGCCCACTCATCCAAATAGTGACTATTTATTTTTACTTTCTTGGCAGCAGAGTGGTAGTTTGTAAATGTCCTAAAATACAATAATCTGGAAGATATCTCCAGCAGATTATATTCAGGTCACATTTGACATAAACACCCTTTATCATCAAGCCACAATTAGCCAAATTTCTACAAATGCTGGATAAATCTATTCTGGATGAACTACTCAGAATGGCCGTCTCGTAGGAGTAAAAAATGGTAGGCTCAGAATGCGCCTTTTAGCTATTGATACTTTTAGATCATTAATAATAATCAAAAGTTTAACCAAGGGGGTTTACAAATAACGTGAAATTCAGAAGTGAAGGAAGACTTGCCAAGGAAGTATGTAGTCCCAAAAAAAAGTGGTCTGCTGTAAAAATCCCATGTTTGAAAACTTTATTAGACCAATCACTTGAGCTACATGGAGCTTTGAGCTATTCACACATGTGGCCCTCTCAGATTGCTTCAGCCAACCCCATTTTCCACTTCCTGTCATCTGATGCAAATGTGAGACAAACCAGCAGCTCTCCCGTTTCCTTTTCCGTTGGCCTTCCTCCTGGCACCCTGAGCGCTATTCAAACACACTCAAGGCTTCCTCTGAACAATGCTATTCCAAGGATACTGAAAAGGTACCGGGCCACATGCTAAATCTATTACTGGGAATTTTCCCCCATAGGGAGCCAGTAAAATGTCTTAACAATAACTTATGTAAACATTGTTTTCCAGGTAAAACTCATCAGGTTAGAATCTTAGACAAGGAACTGCACAGTGGAGTAAGGAGAAAAACATACTACGGGCTGGAACTCCCAAAATCAGGACTCCCTCATACGGCAACATCCATGGTCCAGCAGGACCACGAGCGTTCCTGGACCAGGGAGTCTCGGCTGGGAGTCCTAGTGGCAAGAGGGCTGGTGGCTCATAGCTTGGCGGGGCTGGGACCAGTGCAGCAGGGACTGTGGCAGTCCCAGGAGCAGGGCCGGGGACATGGCAGCCCCAGCAG